ATGTCAAGCTAAGCATGATTTAGGATTAAAATCTTGCAAGACAGATACTTTCTCAGACAAGCAAGGTTATTTTCGCACTCAAAAATGTGTGTGCTTCTAGGTTGCTCCCACGGCTAAAGTAATACAGAGCACATTGAGACATGGGCTGGAATTATATTATTATGGTGGATAAAAGATCATTTTCACCTCTGGTTTTCCCTTCCATTAATTTAAGTTTCTTGTTAAAAGTAATTTTTAATAAAGTTACCTGGCCATTGAAGCAAATAAATCCACAAGACTGCAATTTTCTATTAATCATACAAGCTGGTTGAGACAAATATTCTATACATATTTTTTAAAGCAGAGTATCATTTTACATTTATTCAAATGAGTTTGTAAATTGACTGTAGCACAGGACAAGGTTTTCTTTTTAAGGGAGTCTCTGCATGTAAGTAATTTACCCTCCAATTCCAAGAGCATGTGTAAGGCTCAGGTGACCAGACCTGCTGTCAGGCATACAAGAACTTTAGTTTAATCAGGCATAAGACTCTAAAGAACAGGGGTCTTTGCATCAACTCCTCAACACTTGTCTTCATTACAGGTGAAGGACCTTAAAAGGGCAAGCCCACGGGAAACAAGAACAGAAAACCAGAGGAGGTTGGGAGAGACAAGAGAATGAATGCATAGCTCTGAATTTAAATAAAACAGATTATCAAAGTGAGCATTAATGAAGAAATTTTCTGAGTACAATGAGGCAGACTAAGTATATAATGCAGCAACAGAGTCAAAAAGCAGACTGAACAAGATCCACGACCAGCCAGATTCACCTTGGTACACAGTACACCAAATGTTAATTTGTATCTGGGCTGGAAAATGTTTCTTTCTGTGCACAGATAAGATAGGTAAAAATATTTTATGTTGTATGTAAGGGCAAGTTAAAGGGTACACTAAAATGTAACCTTTAAACTTCACAATGTAACAGCATACCACTTCCTGTTCAGAGATAGCACTCCAAGATCAATTAATCATGGCTAAGAGGAACAAACGGTCAACATTCTTAATTAGTGTTGATGCATTCTCCTTTGTGCCCTCATCTGTCATGAAGATTGTTTAAAAATCTGAGTTATTAGTCTTTATTGAGGAGTGGATCTGGTTAATATCTCTAAGAACAGAAATCATTCATCTAGCCACTATACACCAGTACCTGATAATTCCTACCCCCTTTATAAGCTACAGATAACCACCGCCCTAAGACCATCTTGGTAGCTATAAATCAAAATGAGTATAGCTCCCATGCAACTTGGGTTAATTTTTGTTTACAATATATCCACTGAAAATGCTGGTATGACACTTGAGGAGACTCCTTATAGATTAGTGCAAAAGAAAATATATAAGGGAGTCAAGGTAGAAAGGAAGAAAACATATCAATCATACGAAACATGGTAAACTCTCTCTAATTCACACTTAATGACTAGAAGATCCATTGTGATCACTGAACTTTATCAATACCTAACTTAAGTAAAGATTCTAAGTGCACAAAACACAATTCATTCACTTGATAACTACAGTTTCATTTATACCATACAAATCAAAGTATTTGACAGCCACATATATACAAAAGTTTTGAGATACTGCATCAAAACTCTAAAACAAAAGTTAAAATTAACAGTAAGGTTTACTCCCCAATTAGCAGTGCAAAGCAAATGTGAAGGACAGGCTATGGAAAAAAAGAAAAAGGGTACAGGAAGGAAAAAAGAATGAAAACTGAAACTAAGCACACAGAAGGAACCCAGCTTCAATAAAGTACTGGTTTTACAATGGAAATCTGCATCTCTGAAGCTCCTGCTCTCCCAATAATTTTTAATAAATTAGTGGGCAATGACAGTCTTTCATTTTAGCTACTACTGAATAACCAAAAAAAAAAAAAAGTAAAACCCACAGGAAATAAAAAAGAGAGGTGGGAAGGTCCAGAATTCCACAATTTAGGTGTCAAGTCATACTGCTCTGCTATTTTCAAATAAATCTCTGACGGATGAGATACCAGGAACTGATCGGAGCTTTTGAAGTACAAATTACATTTCCAAAGTTTCATGAGTAAATTTTAACCTCTTACAATCACAACAGGACATTTTAATAGCTTGACACCACTCTGAAGTTAATTATCACGCTTTAAATAGACACAGCAGCTTATTGTGTTCATACTACTAATCTACTGCAATACACAATAAACCAGAACAGTGAAAACAAGCACTGGTTCATTTAAATCAGCACTGAACAATTTCCTCAAGTTTTGTGGAATACTAGAGAAATCCCTGCAAACTTAACATTTAACAGAATGACTACAAATTGATACAAGAAACCACTAATAAATTATCTATAAAACCACATGACTTAGCAGTAGTAAACAATTATGCACCATATACTGCTATGTATCAAATAATTTGCTTTCAATGACAAAATTACCCAGCGAAATTATCTTCATTTCATAGAATTCAAGGGCACAATTTTCTGTATCATATTGTGTAGAAAAATATTTCTGTTTTCTTCCAAGTTATAGCTTTATTCCTTGAGAGAATCCAGGTATATCTCCCCCCAAAATGGAAAAAATACGCATGTCTTTTAGACAGTATTAGTAAGAGAAAACAGACAAAGGACAGCCCAAGTAACTAAGCCAAAGTTCCAAAACAGAGGCTGAGCTTCCAAAGTCTTATCAAGGCATCTAAATACTGGCCCAAAGCTTTCCAGTTGCTATGAATGAAAATTACTGCATTCTTGGCAAATTTTAAAAGCTTATATCAGAAAGGAAGTTAAATGTTAGAAAAACTTGGCTGTGGATATTGACATTTCTAGTCTTCCAGTGAGTTTACCTGGATATTTTCCTAAAAGACATGTACAGGTCAAAAAAAAAAACAAGTACAATCCTGAGACAGAAACCACTCACTGGGGTATTTCTCCTGAAGGATGCATGAGGTCAAGTAAGTTCATCAATTCATCAAATGGCTTTTCCTGGCTCTTAACCTGTTATTGCTCTTGCATTGTGTATGAGTGTTTTATCACTTACTAAGTAAAGAAGTTGAACAGAGTGATTCCTCCTTAATAATTTGCTAATACCAGTAGTTTTATCTCTTCATAATATGTGAGCGTCAACACCATTCTTCCATATGAACACCTTTTCTATTTATATAACAACATGAGCCTGACTAGAGTTTCCCCTCACAGACTATTAATGTTTTAGTATTGTGGTGAAAAGCCTTCTAGATATTCTTATCCTACTGTAGAATTCAGAAAAACAATATACTTTCAAAGTCTAATTTTTATCATGCTTAAATAAAAATGAAGCAAAAAAAATCCCTCTGTGAACAGTATCCCCTGCATGCTCAACATGTGCAACAGCAACAAACATCCTTAGCATCACATGAAATCAGTATTTTGCTGCTTTTCTTTATGCATAGCTTCTGAAGGAAAACAAGGCAGCAAGCACAGTTCCTTCAGCTGCTATTTTCATAAAATTAAAGCCCTTTCACTAGTCAGTGTCAGCCTTTATCTGAAAACTCATCTAGGAAACCAGATTCTATTTCCAGGTGCTCCCAAGGAAACATTTGGATATTAAAGATTTGCGGGCATGTATATGTGACAAGCAAACTGGAAATAGAAAGCCTCCAAATCAAAACCAATGTATCATTTTCCACATCTATTGTGCCAGTTCAGCAAAGGAACACTTTTCAATGCTAATGTTACAGTCTATCTTACTGCAAATACGTAAGATTTGCAGAACTCCAGCTAGGAAGTCAAATTTTTGGGCAAAATAGAAACAAGTGAAAAATAATTTTCATTTGAATTTCAAGAATCTGCATTATTGACTTTGGTCTGCTAGAGTACAAGACTGCAGTGTTACACTTTCAGAAGTGCTGTTTATATATTGTAGCTCTAAGACCTTCTCTGTTTTCTTCACAGGAAATTAGTCTTTCATAATTAATGTCATAAAATGTTACAGCATCACTGTAGCACTACTACAATTAATGATTCTGAAAGAAAGTGTTGTCTCGACATTGTTTTCAAATGATTTTAAACAATTCTAACTTGCTGGATAAGGTCCTTTTCTCAGATTTGTTCATGACATGGTCACTGTAACATAGAAACAAATTATTTGGAGAGTGAAAAAAATAAAATCTTTTTCTGTTGTTCAAATAAAAGTGTTAATACTGTTTAGAAATTATATATCTGCTTCTACCACTTAGTTTCTAAAATTTTTATATGTTGCTTTTATCATCTTCAACAGAAAAAGGGATAAGAAAGCCAGGATCAAGACAGCAGATATGCTAATAAGGATGTTTGTGTAAGATTTTTTAGCTGGAAATGGGGAAATTTGAAATCCATCTAATTAAGGAACTATCTAAGTGATGATTGTACAAAGTGATATATTTTGGTAGTCAGAAGAAAACCATTCTGTCACACTTACATGATCACAAATAGGAGGTTAAAAAAAAATCCCAAAACAACACAAAGTAAGTCACCTGATGTGCACAACCACAGATAACATTAAAAAAAAATCTGATAAGCAACTCTTAAGTATTATCCCTAACACATAGTCTAATTTTTTTAAACATATCTCAGTAGTTAATGCAGCAGTCTCTTAACATACAGAACCATGAAATATACCTTTTACTACATGCAGAAATGCTCCCCGGTTCTCCATTCCAGACACATGCCATGGCTATATCCTGGGGCCCTAGCAAATTCAAACACAGGCAAGTGATCTCTCTACTCCTGTCTGCTGCTTTCCAAGCAAAGAAGACACAGGGAGAGAGGCTGCAGGCTAGGCAAAGCATGATGCAGCAAATCCCATAAGATATCCTATCTGCTGAGAGCCAGAATCCTGAAGTACACCCAAATATGTCATCTGTACACAGCAAAAACACATAAGATAGTACTTAGTTGCATTTGCTAAATACCTTATGCCATTTCTTTAATAGCAAACCACTTCCAGAGCTTCAATTAATATGTAAATATTAGTAACTTACTTTTATTTCCAACCAAGGCCACAAGTGGCTGTGTTTCTGATTCTTCATTCACTTTTTTTACCACATTATACCAGTCTTCCAAATTTTCAAAACTCTGGCCATTGGTAATATCATAAACCAAGAGAATACCCTAAATAAAAAGACATGTTTAAAATGTTACAGATTGTAAAAGAATTTAACATGGTAATATTTGCATCAGTCTTAATTATTATTGTCATAAAATAGAGCACTAACAAATAATGGCATCATATCTTTTGAGGGTCAGTTAAAGGAATTATAAATTTCTATACTATACACATTATTACAGTATTTCTCCTGCATTTCATGTGCTCCAAATCCATGTTTGAGAAAAAATAAAGGCAACACAGTCAAGAGCACAATTAGTTATATAAGAAATAGTACAAACTGCATATGCTTTCTGATAAACCCAAAACAGCATTTCACTCTAATAGGAAGATAAAAATCACACTGGAGAAGGACTTTTATTTTAACTAATATTAGTTGCAGTTTCAATGTTCCCTTTTCTAGAAAAAAAAAAAAGGCAGCTCAATTTTATATCTCTGCACATTGTCATGTTTCTGACGTGTTTTGGGGATAAAGGCCAGATTCCATTCCTACAGTGCTGTAGAAGCTGAGTAAGAAGTATTGGCAAGCTTTAAACTTTCAAAAGAGAACCTGAAGACACGGTGAGAACTCAAAAAGGAGTCCCATATATTTCAGCCTGACTAGAGGTTGCTCAGTCTCCATCCTTAGAAGTTTACAAGCAGGAACTTTGTAAATCCTTGAGCAGCCTAGTTCTACCTCTCAGGTGACCCTCCTTAGAGTGTTTTACTACTGACCTCCTGACATCCTTCCACCCTGAGCTTTCTTACAAATCTGTGATCAATATGACATGCAGCAATAGGTTGAACTCACAGCAAGATTACAGCAAGGGTACATACTAGAAACAAGCAAACAAACAAAAAAAAAAACTATTGAGACTATAAGAATAGCAAAGCTCTTTATAGACCACCTATAACAGTCACCAACACTGAAAAATTTTTGAAGGTTGCTAAAATTCCACATTGATAGCTTTGCAGAAGGGCAACAGAACCTATTGAGATCTCTCTAACTCCTACTTTCTTATGACAGCAATAAAAATCTATCTTGTTTCCTCCAATGTTACCAACTCTTTGGCAAACTTGAGTTTTTGTTCGTTATATTTATATAGTTGCTGTTAATTTCTGAGGAGCAGCTCCCATCAATTCCTTCAAAGGAAATTAAGAATTATGACATCCAACTTTCCCCTTGCTATCTTTCTTTCTTCATCAGTCAAATCTAATATTAAACATCCACTTCCAATTTTGGTGCAATTTATTCCTTAATATCTTGCATCTCTAAGTTAATTTCAGTTAATTTCTCCTATTTTTATAGCTACCCAAATGCCTGGGCATGTATGTAACTGTCTCACAATCTAGGTTTTGCTCTAGGAAGGACATACTTGTGTTATTAAATGCTCAGTGGAAAAGAAACTCAATGTAAAGGATAGGTATGGAAAAGCCATAAAGCTGAAAGTTGTAAATGGGAAAAAGCACACAGCAATGCTTCTTTCACCAGCTGTCAAGTTCTCTCACCAGCTTGCAAAGGAGCAGATTATCTAAACCATCTTCAGCACTAATTAGAGTTCAGCACTAATTAGAGTTAGATGGAGAAAAAATATTTAAGTGTGAGCATTTAAGGTTAACCAACTCTTCCTAACCAATTCTTCAAAATTCTACTCTGCTTCATATCCTCTAGACAATTGTAGCCTACCTACCCCTTTGGATGAAAGTGGATTTACAATGAAAGAAATCATTTAACAAAGTTTGCAACTAGAGCTGACCTAATATCTTTTTGGTCCTTTTCTGTACAATTTGAAACACTGCTTTTAAAGAACATTCTTTTCTTAACCATTTTTTCAGTCTTGTCAATATTTGCCACACTTAAGAAACAAAGACAGCAGGTGTAAATCACAGAGATGCAAAAAAAGGCAGCATGGCATCCAGGACATAAAGAATACTTTCTGCTTAGATTTTCACTACAACAGCACTCTGCAATTTAGAGTGATATAGATAATTAATGAAGAATTATTCATAACTCCATGGCTAAAATTTATTTTACCTTTTTTTTTTTTATTTAACAGAAACCCAATAATTACTTTCAAGAAAAATACACCATATTTTACATAAATCTACAGTATATGGAGCTCAGACCAAGATGACAGAATAAACACTATTGTTTCCCTATTATGTGAGAGGAATTAAGGAGGAAAATTAACACTGGCGTCTTTACACAAATATTTCCCTGCCATGAAAAAAGTTTGAAACACATGGTAGACAACATGCCAAGAACAGCACATTGATTCTCTAGTCTTCAGCAACGTGGCAAATAGTCCCTGGCTGCATAATTGCACTCCAGTAAGAGAGACATTTTGCCTACATTAGTGCATATGTGAGTGCTTTTTGTTTTGAAATTATAGAGCATTTTCAAAAATAGGTCACTGGAAACTAAGAATATTGCAGAAATTATTTGCTGCTCCCTGGAGAAGGTAGAGTCTGCAGTACTCTTATTAACAAGCCAATTTATGATGTAGCATATGCCAGATCTTAAAGATAATTTAAACTAGATATGTGTGTAGAGGCAGCAATTACAGGTAAGACATGGGAGTGATTCTGAAAGATTTACCACGCAAACAGCACCACTGTTATTTCAAAATTGAACTGCTAGTATAGAAATGTTTTAACCAGGCAATATATTCATACCGATAAACAAAATTTAAGAGGTGTCAAGTTTATGTCAAGATTTGTCACAATAAAAGGAAGCTAGAGAAAACAGTAATTAAAAACTTATGTTTTCTTCTTCATTTATCCACAGCTACCCTCATCCTAGGACTGACTTTTACATCAAGGAACTAAACTGACTTTCAAATTTCCATCATTATTATTATTAAATAAGTCAGGCCAAAATTCTAGAGTACTTATTTTAGTCACAGAATATTAATTTATTAAGGAGAAACTTAATTGTTGCAGAAATGTGCAGATGAAAACACAGTTTTTTGCAAACTAAAGCAGTTTACAGTCCACATATACTTAACCACTGATGTCTTTGCTGATACTGAGGATGTGGGCACTCAGATACATGTGATTAAGTAGCCATAACTGAATGATTACTTTCTATCAGTACAGCTGTGGCAACTGACAACACAATTACTCTCAGCATCCCTCAATTCTGAGATGAATGTGGTAATTTTAAACAGCTTTCAGTCAGTGTCAATTATTAGTACCTTTAATTATAAAGATCAAAACTTTTTTCTCTACAGCTTGCAGAGTTCTGCCTCACCACTGAAATTCAGCTACCAAGATGGGATGCAGCAACTACATTGTTCTAAATGAGCAACATCAGAGAAAAAATGGGCAGGAGGAAAGCAACTATGCCAAGACAGCAAGTGAAATGCAACTTCTCCAACTGCAACCATGTAAGCAAATTATGCAAACTCTCACGCTCAAATCTGCCATTCTTATTCTAAAGCACGGCACAAGAAATAGGGGATCTAAATCAAAATATGGCATCTCAACTGTAACCTAACCAAAAGATCTATCCTAGAGAATTGTTTCAGCTCTCATTAGAGAGAAGGAAACCTCCAGTGGCAATTTTTTGACATGAAGTATAGATGGATGCTCCACTTACTCTTGATATCCTGGTCAAATTTCATCCACGATCAGGTGAACTGTAGACCATAATCTTTTTGGTTGCTTTAGATTCTCTAAAACTTCTATCTCCAGCTGGCCATAGGATTTTAGAAGTAGGCCTACCATACACATAGATTTCTGAGCACAAAAATAAGAATTCTGCCACTTTTGATTTCTGAATCTCACAATGATCAAATAGATGGAAATTAGGCTATGGACATCTGCAAATACTGGATAAATGCATAATCCCTACTGTAGGTATGCTACAAACAATTCCACACATATACCTGTCCTAGTTTAGGGCAAATTAGGGAGGACAGCATGATATTCACTTTCCTTGATTTGACTACTTCATTCTTACTAACACAGCTCAGTACTCAATTTGCTTTTACTGTTGCAAGGGTGCATTGCAAACTCTTATTCAACTTCTTTTTACCTCAGTAAGACAACCATCCAAGAGCTTTCCATTCCAAAGCCATTTCACAGAATGACTGAGGTTGGAAGGGACCTCTAGAAGTCATTTGGTTCAATGCTCCTGTTCAAAGCACTGTCACCCTAACCCAACTGCCCAGGACCATGTCCAGATAGCTTTTGAGTGTCTCTGAGGATGGAAATTCTACAACCTTTCTGGTCAACTTGTGCCAGTTCTCAGTCACCCTCACAGTAGAAAACCTATTTCCTGGTGTTCAGAAGGAATCCTGTATTTCAGTTTGTGCCCATTGCTCTGGTCCTTTCAATAGACACCACAGAAAAAAAGACTGGTTCTCTCTTCCTTGCATCCTTTCTGCATGGATGTATACATATGGATTAGCCTTCTATTCTCCAGGCTGAACAGTCATAGCTCTCAGCCTTTCCTCATAGGAGAGATGCTCCAGACCATTAATCACCTTTGTAGCCCCCCACTGCACGTTCTCCAGTTGGTTTGCAGCTGCATAGGATCATTCTATACCAGGCACAGGACTTGGCATCTGTAATCAGCCAAACCTCGCAAGGTTTCTGTTGGCCCACTCCTTCAGTTGGTCAGTCTCTCAGCAGCAGCCCTACCCTCCAGCACAATGACCATTCCTCCCCACTTTGGTGCTATTCATTAACTTACAAACAATATTTTGTTCCATTGTTAAAAGAATTAGCAAAAGACACAACCCCAGTACCAACCCTTAAGAAATAAAACTTATAATCAGGCATCAGTAAGACATTGATCTATACACCTTTAAATCCATCAGTAAATTTATGGTCTAGTCATTCCACATGTATCTCTACATATTGTAATAATAATATGGGAGATTATGTCAAAGGCCCTGTTGCGGTGAAGATAAATTACATCCACTGCTCCCCTCTCCACAGAACTAACCATCTAACCACAGACAGCAAGCAAGCTGGCTGTGCACATTTTATCCTCACCAACTCCATACTACCTCTTCCTAATTAATTTCTTGCTGTTTTGTTGTCTAGTCACAGGAATTTTTATCCATATTTAAAAGAATCTTCCTTTATAAATACTCCTACTTGTTCTACTTGGCCTTTCCTCTTATGAAAAGCTACAGATATTCAACATGAAATAAGCTGCATTTATTTCTGCTATGCTTAGAAATAAACTGAAAGCAGTGCCTTTCCAAACTACTCACGGCATTTCATGAATAGATGAAAATAGAGGCAGTTTTATGCATCTTTAACAGGCACTGTTACAAAGCCAATATAAAAGTGTGTTAGAACCCAACTTTGATGATAAGAAGCCTCTTAGGAATACACTCTGGGAATACATGCCAACACTGTGAGAGAAAAATCACTAGTCCATCAAAAAAAAATAGGGTTAAAATGAGGACTGAAGGAATTAAAGACAAAGGGATTTGACATAGGGAGTATGTTCTGGATGACTCAAAAATAAATCAAAAATTTAGTCTTATTGATATCAACTATTTATGCACTTTTGGGCGCTGGTATTAATTTTTTGACCTGCTATTTTTGGTAAGAAACTCCTAAGATTTTTCACCGAATTTTCAATTTATTATTCTTCAATGCAGACAAAACTAATAGCCTTTTATTTCATTCATTAAATCTACTTTGGACATATGGCAACAATTTGTGATTCATCAAATTCCCTCTGTCATGGAAGCCACTTTCTCCTATTGCTTGGTAGATCTCTAACAGGTCAACAAATCTGTTTTTATTTTTTAAAAAAATGCTATAAAACAGATGCAACAGCCAAGTGACAAAATGTTACATTGACAAGTTTCTCTTTAATTAACTAATATATCCCAATCTCTTTCATTAGCCATTCCTGTGTTGTATAACATTATCTAATAGCACATTTTATGCCTATTGTTCTCATTACAAACTCCCAATTAAGGAACGGAGTACATTTTAGGATCACTCATGCAAAGAAGCTTGGCATTTATAATATATACTCCTAAATCATCTCATGACTCAAGATACAGTTATAATACTTAGATCTTAATCCTACCATCCACTTTAAATTGCTTAGTTAACCTGAAGATTAAATTTAATTTTCACTGGACAGGAGTTCTGCAAAAATATTTAGCTACCTGGTTGTCTCCTTTTGTTTGCCCTCTTATAACCCCAGTTGCATGTATGACTTTAATAGCGTAGGATTGCTCTTAATTTCCTCCTTCTACCTTTTCCCCCCAGGAGGCAGCTGTTCTGAAAGCAGCCACTCTATCTACCATGTGGAAATCCAAATAGCCTTTACTATTTACTGTGATTGCTTTTCCTAACTCAAGACACAAAGCCTGGAAACAACCATCTGTTCTTGGAAGTTACTCAGTTCTATAAATGCACACACTTGCTTTGCTTGTTATGTCAGCTCTAAAAAATTAGCTACACACCAAAATTAAAGTTGCCTATTAAAATCAATTAAGTTTAGATTGAACAGACATTCAACATTTTTGAGATTTATGAAACAATCAACTAAAAGCTATATATAATGTATGTATGTATAATTTTAAGAATGTTTCAATTAATTTTATATCATTGCTATAGATACAATTATCAGCATTTATACTGTACCTGAGCTCCATAAATATATTTATCCAGCATTTTGCCTCCCATCGTTTGTCCCCCTACATCCCACACTTGAAGAGTAACATTCAAATTTCCTGGAAAAAAAATTACACAGATATTGTGTAACCTGGAAAATTTAGATACAAATACATTCAACAACTATAGCTTTTAACAAGTATACAAGAAATAGGAACTAAATTTTGAAGCAAAAATTATTTTATCATCTGGGAAAAAAGTCATTTGTGTCCAGCTAAGTCATTAAGATACAGTAAAATTATAACTAGTTATTAACATATCTAATATTAAGAGAAAATATTTAAAATAGCATAAATTATAACACACCTGACTAGAAATTATATAACATTTTCCACTGAAAAAACATGTAAAATTTCAGAAAGAATGTTCTACAGCATGGTACTTGGAACTGAGAGGTAACACAATTAATGCCAACTTATCCACATTATTTCATACTGTGTGTCCCTTCCTCACTCCCTCTCCAAACCTTCTTTACAGATAAAGAAGCAAGGAAAATCTTCATGATAACTTCATTTTGGTAGTGATGCTGATAGTAGTATACAGTTACAAAATTACTGAGCTGACAGGGTAAAAAAATGGAAATACTGACACACATCTTAGTTGAGGATGCACACTATGATTTACTTCCTCCACTCACCACCTTAAGGCATGAAGCCAGATTGGACACAATTTACATAATTTCATCTTGAAAGAATCTACACCAAGAATAGACCTTCCTTTCTATTCTGTTTTTAAACTATGTTGAAACTGTTAACAGGTTTTTAAAAACAAAACTAACCAAAAAATCAGTGTAAATACAGAACATTTAATATCCTACAAGTCATATTTATTCTGTAAGACAAGACTCAGCAACTCACAGATCAAAAATACACACAAAGGTATGGTACCATATACATAAAAACATATTAAAGTATAATTTCTCACATTTTGCATGATAAGAACTGTTTCCAGAACTGTACTGATTACCTGGTAGCACCAAACTCTAACAAAGTACTGAAAATTCTTTCTAATCCACATATAACTCACGTGACACTTACATGTTAATACAAATATTACATACTCACAAATAATCACAACTGCCTATTCATTTTACTCCTGGATCTAAAAAATGCAACAAATTTCACATCACAACAATTGCAAATTGAGTGAAAATGAATACATTATTTTGGCTTGCTAAGAAAAACATGTTCTTAATTCAACTATTTTATGTAGTTGACAATCTGATTTTACAGCACATGATCCATTCAGCTGTAAATTTATAACTGATATGCTCACATTGGTTACACAAAGAAATGTGCTCCATGGAAATGTCTCACAGGACCAGATGAAAATAACCAGCAAATTAATAGCTATATAGCTGAATATATGCTATTCATGTGGCATTAAATATACATCATATTTTTATAATATGGTATAAAAATTATATATATATTTTGGTCCCAAAAATACAGAGATGAATATGAAACAGTACTATTAAGCTAAGTTTTATGTAATACCAAGAGAATTTCTACATGGAGCTTAGAAAACACATCATAAACACCCCAGTTCAATAAAGGCAACTTTTTATAATCAACAAAAAGTTTACTTGTTTTGATAGTTCATATTCTATGCATTAATTAATTATTTTTAAGTCTTAGACCATAAATGATTGCAAACAATGCAGGAAAGTCTTCCAAAAAGCATCTGGCATGAGTAAACTAGTGCATCCACAGTCTGAAAAGACTATACATCCTCAGTGAGTAAACAAACTATGCAGGCTCAAAGGCTCACCATGCTGCAACATTCTATCCCTATGTGTTCTACTGGAAAGTCAAAAAAAAAAAAACAACCTTTCTAAAGGTTCAAGTGCTCTAAAAAGTTTCAACTTGATTTTACCTCCTAAGGAAATAACTATGCACAGCATATTGGCCTTAGTATCTGGACAACTGCATGGAACAACCTGAGAAATTTTAGTGCAGTAAGTTACACTGAATGGTCTAACTATGATTGCCCAACAAAACAATCTCCAATCTCCTATTACAAATTATTTACTCTCTTTCATGAACAACAGAAAAAAGAAACAAGGAAAAAAAAAAAATTGGTAAGTTCATTTAAGGTGAATGCCTCCATAATTAGGACCTCACTAACTATGAAATTCATGCTCATCACCTCCTGTGCAAAATGGCTCATTTTCCCTTTTTCTCAGTTAGGTTCTGTAATATTTTCTTTGTGCTTACATTGATTGTGGAGGAGAAAGAATGATGTTAGGATTATTCTGACAAAAGGAAAAACTGCAGGCAATTTACCTAGCAAGCATTTAATTAACAACTGGGATAGTAGCACACAAAGTTTCTGCAAAAAGTTTGAAATCTTTTATTTTTTCAATTTAACAGGAACATAAAAACTAGGGTCTTACAACATAACAAAAAGAAACCATACATATAATAAAAGACAGTTCTTAGAAACAGTCTTAACACACCAGTAAAAATAACTGAAGAACCCCATCAAAATAACGTGTAATACACTAATAAGGATAAAAACCCCAGAACTTTACAGTGCAGTAAATGCACACAAGTGCAAAGCTGAAATACATGAAATACAGTGCAGGTGTGTAGATCACTTCTGGTATGAACTGAAGCCACTGGGCTGCAGCAGCAGTGACCCTGCAGGAGGATACTTGGTGTACTGGTTAACCTTACCTAAAGTGCTGCACACTCAAGATGGAACCAAAAACACAAGTCTGACCACTTTTTACACCAACGACTTAAAAAAAATCTTTTTAACAGAAGAATTCTGTTTACTGAACTGCACCCACAACCTCCCAAAAAGTATCCAACTAATGGCTCTTAAGAGTCTCTATCAGCAGACTCTCTGACTAGCAGACACACTATTTAAGCACTAAAATCTGTATCATGGTTGCATCCAGACTATACAAGATTCTGCATCAATAAATATAATGAAACTGATTTGTACTTTAAAAAAAGTATTTTGAACAAACTGCATGAAGTGAATTTGTCATGTTGAACACTAGACACATGTTGAACCACGTTGAACACATTGTTCAAAATTTATCAAAGGATTTCTGATTTGTATGAAACTGTGTTGTTTTACCATGCAAAATATTTACTATTTTCGCTGCAAAACTGCATTAGTTACTAAAACAACTGGAGATAAATGCCGCTTTTATCCTAAAAAATAAAAAAAATAAATAAAAAAACAGAAAACAGCACTTTATTTTATAAGTTGTAATGTATTTCAATTGTAAATTGAAATGTAAACTTCAGTGCAATTCTAGAAATCCATCATTTTAACTCCTGGAATCTTTACTGATTGACAACTTATATTGAAGAAAAAAATCAACTACTGAACCATATTTGTTTAGCGATCCTCATACTAAATAAGAGAAGCCAAGTCCTTTTCCCTACTGATACAAACAATTTCTGTGCAGTGGTATGAATTAAACTTTCAAGTAAACATAGCAGATCTGCAAATATCCACATATACCTACATACACATATAGGCATAGGCAAAACCAGAATGACAACCTACAGAAAAATGTTTCTTCCTGAATATGAATATATATGCTACTGTTTTGAGGAAAACAGATGTACAGACTTTTTGGTGCTTTTACCTGCATTCTGATTCTATTACAAAATAAACTATGAATGAATGAAATTCACACACAAAATAAACTATGAACAAAAATGAATGAAGTAATAGTTGATAATTTTCCAAATTTTCTACTCAACAAGAATATTTATAATCCCACTAATGTACTAATAGCATCTGTATGCTTAACAGCTGGAAAAAAAACTTGCAAAATACAAGTTCTCAGCATGCACACTGCATGATTTGTGTACACATTTCACTTGAAAGTACTGCTGTTAAGTAACACACTGGTATTTTTAGAGGCAGGAGCAGGACAATAAAAAATTATTCTGTTGATTTTATGGAGAAATACTGGAATACTGGAGAACTGGAATTTGGTACTTTATCACTCTACTAAAAAAAGTACATACTAAATACTAAAAAAATACAGCAAAATGGCCAAACCAAAATAGTGAACACAGGAATAGTCTGAAAAGATTATTCTGTTTCACTTAAGAAAATATATAAACACAATCAAGAAATTATTTTCAATATTTTTTTTAAAAAAGTTCAATAACTGCATATATTTTCTTTAACTTCAGGTTACAGAAAAAATACTTAGTTTCAGAATTTGCTTTCCACCCCACCCTTCAAAAGAAGACATAACTACAGAACTTGCATCAACTTTAGCAGATCTCACGACACCTTTTAATAATTACACAAACTTTTTTTGACTTCTGATTTCTGAACCCAGAAGTAAATATTTTTAATTAAATACTTGCATACTTAGAATATGAACACACACAAATCAGAAAAAAGATGTACTGTAAACCACAATTGTTCAGAGAAACTTAACCAGCAATTATTTATTTTTAATTATTTTTTTGCATTTTCCATGCAGTGTGCTTCAACTGGCATCTAAATAGTTTCTTTGCCATCATGAAGTGAAACATCTTGAATGCTCAAACTGTATTTTTATGACTGCCAAGGGACCCTAAATTTTAGTGGTCTATTAAATGCCAGCAATTTCATGCTGCCTTGCATAAAACAGCATTCACATATTAGAGCACTGTGAGCCCACAGCCGCACTATGCTTCTCTCACAACTCAAATATGAGTTGCGTATTTCATTAAAAAATATATATATTTCTTTCAAAATACATTCACTTTTTCAATTAATATGTTTAAAGTTCCGTTTCATTGTTGTGTGTTATACTATCCAAATAGAAAGTGAATGCACTCCAGCAGGAATAACAAAATTCATCAATATAGATAGCATTCCTTTTATTTGAATTCACTGTTTTACTTAGAGATGTAAGTTGCAAATGCATAACTCTTTGACACCTGGCAAGAACGTATAAACAAAATATTCTCCAAACAACCTAATTTACTTTGCCATAAAAATCACTGCACTGAGCTTATTTAGTACACATTACTCTGAAGAATCTGTTCCTGCAAGTCTTGCTGCCACCCTGCCTTCCAGTGTTGGCTTTTATTCTCTTACCTGGCAATAATATCCTTTTCAAGAAGAAGTCCAATCCTATGGTTTGTTTGTATTGTTTTCCAAATGTTTCTTGAGCAAAACGTGTAGCTAAGGATGTCTAAAACAGAACAATATCAAATAAGTTGTCATTTTTAACAGCAACAAACTTTATGTTAACCCAGAAGTATGAAATACAGTTCAACACTTTTTAAATCAATGAATGCTAACAGTGTTCATGGATTTGGATTGACAAGCACTCCAGTCAGTTTCAACATAATAACAGGAGGTGGCAAAAGCTACTAATTTATGCAAAAAGAAGCAAGGTGCATATTTGCTTTGATTTCAGAAATACTCTAACAGTCCTGTTACAAAATATTACATAGATTTGAAAGAGGTAACATTAGCATGCTCAAACTGACACAAATCTAGGTGACACTATCTGTACCTGAAGATCCTAGTATTTTTAAAAAGCATTAATTTCCAAAACAAGGGTCCTCCCAAGGTAAAGAACACCGTGATCCCAGACCAACTTTTTGGGAGGGAATAGAAATCTGCACCGTGCAGAATCCCACAGGGGGCTCCCATGTGTGACAACATTTCTGCCACTGTACATCAGTTTCAGGATAAGGGATTACAGGAACTCTAATATGGGAAGAATACTTTCTTGCATACAGAAAAAAAAGTTAAACTTATACTAAGAATGCACATTTACAGAATCATTCCTTTCAACAGAACTTTGAAAATTTATTTCTTCAGTTGGTATTCTGTGGATTTATGAAATCAAACCAAATACACCGTTGACCTAATACTAAGCTTTTACTATATATGGCTGAAAGAATACACAACTAACCTAGGCAAACTACTGAAGCAAGGCATTTACATTCTGTCAATAGAAATTTAGCAGCAATTTAAGGTCTCCTTTTGAGAGGAAAAAAAAAAACGGTGGGCATAGAAAGGGAAAGAAATAAAGAAAGAAGGCCCACAAAAAAAGTAATGGAGAAAATAGTGGCACAATCATAAATAATACAAAAGTTGGTATTGTGAAGAAAATAATACTATATATTCAAAACTATAAAATACAATCAACATCAAATTAGAAAACACTTAAAAATCTCTTGTTGACATGATATTTGTAAAAAAAATACAAATTAACTACAGAAAAAAAATAATCCAAGTATTTATTTACCTATACGGAGAAGGAAAAAACTAAGAGGCTCACAAAACCCTTACAATGTCTGAGAAAACTCAAAACAGGCCAGAAGGGTTTTTTCTTGCCAGTTTTCTGTTCATCAAGACCTGAAGATATGAGTCACACCAATCATTATCAGAAATTGCCTTTAAGAGCACATTTAGTCAAAAATGCAGTAGCAAAATAATGCCAATATTTCTGAAATATGAGAATAAGCAAGGACCAGGAATAGAAGGTTATAACAAAGATCTAAATTAGGCTAATGTCAAATGTACACAGAAAAAAAAAAAACTTTTTTTTTTTTTGCATTAAAACACAATTACTAGAGCTCTAGCACTAATGCTCTAGTATGAACAGGCAAACATTTATTCAACTATTAGATTCCTATTAAGTAAATAAAGCAAGATTTACTGTTTTTGTGTTTCTATATCATATTTATATTCCTATCACTGCCATACATATAAGGAATGATATCTGGTATGAGAAGACATGTTTAGGAAACAATCCAATAAGCTAGTGTTAACCTATGGCAACATTTTCATTTACTTCACTGAACTCAAGACCCAAGAGGATTAAAAATACGAAACAAATGGGGAAGAAAGCAAGTAACCTAGAAAGAGCATGAGTATGCTTATATATTCATATCCCTGTAGAAAGGGGGAAGACCACAGAGGATGAATCATCAGAAAATTCTTCTGCCTACAACTATGTGACAATAATACTAACAACACACACAAAATAAAGTTCAATATTCAGACTGAAAGAGTCAGTAGAACTGATTAATTTAATCCCAACAGTTAGCATGTCAAGATTACAATGACATTATCTTTAATCTGTCATGACCTTAAAGATGCAGATGACAATAAGACGACTGCAGGAATACGCCATTCAGTCTTCACGAAATTTTTGGGAGAGTAATTGTGCTTAGAGTACAAATTCAAGTATCATCTGACTATATCACAGTATTCTATATTCTCCAACACACTAATTTAGATCCTCATTAAATAAGTAATCATTCCCTTCTTGTTTTAAATGCTCAGTAAATACTATTTTATCATTCTGTGATACTCAATATTCCCTGAGGACTCCTAGGGGTGTTAGTAAAAATAAACGACACACGTACAATTAACAGCCAACCTATAAGAGCAGCAAGTAATCAACAGCATGGCAAAGTCCTCTTAAACAGTTTTTCTCCACTGTGCTCTTGAATGCAAAGGAATTTACAGCACAAAATCATTGACTGACTCCTTCTTAAATTTTTTCCAAATAAACGTTAGAGCTCAAGGAAGGTGTTGGATTACCATTCTAGGATCCTCTACTTGTTCACAAAACAAGCATTTATCTACAAAATAGATAAGCAACAGTTAGAGCAACAGTTCAAACTCCTTTACAACAATAAACAAAGAAGTTATGCCAATGCATATTCAAGTACCTCTACAATGGGAATACTCCCTTCAAATCCCAGAACTGTTCACTGCCATGGTTGGCAGAAAAAATTTTGCTCAAGAGTCTTACCTGAGGATATGCTGAATACAATCTATATAAGAGTTATTGGAAGTTAAATAATGGTTCAGTAGAATTGTAGCTCTAAAAATAAGTAAGTAATCAGTGACCATTTTTTAGAAAGGTTGCATTCCATACAGTTCCACCCCTTAATGCTGGGGTCAGGGAACAGCACACAAAGGCCTTGTGTCTTCACCCATCTACTAAGACAACCAGGCCACCAGCTTGAAGGGCAGAATTTCCAGCAAAAAATCCATCAGTTTGGAATCCATCAGTCACACACTTGTCTTAAATACTTCAAAGTGCATGTTGACATCCTATTCTAAATATCATACTGTAGTGAAGATTGATGTTAAAAAGCCACCGTTAAAAACACAAAAATGCGTTTGGGCTCTAATGTACAGCAACCAAGATAGCAGGAAAGAAAAAAAAAAGTTAAGTATTATAAGTGCAAAATACAACAGGATATTTGGGAAGTTTTTTTTGAAAGAAGCAAAGATGGAATTTAACCTTTCGTGAAAGGCATGACAGTTTCTTGCTTCTATTTTTCAATGTCAACAATTCAGTATAAACTGCTGACATGCTGTTCCTAAAGATCTACATAATGAGTAAAGAGGCACAAAAGCAAACAATATCTATGAAATAAACTAAAAGGACAACAAATTGAAAGTCAAATGGAACAAGCAATGATAGGCAGCTCTGATAGCAACTAATTACCAGGGCAACCAGAAACTCATAGGGGAAACCCTACCACTGACAAATCTTTGAGTAAAATCCCACAGAATTAAGTTTTGAGAAAGCAGTGCCGAAGTGTATCATCATAGTTGTAAGAAAGAAAACTAATCCCAAAATTCAATTAGACACAGTTCTGAAGCCATGAATTTCCATTCACACACGAACTTCAGCCACTACAAAAACCACACGTATTTATCTCTTCCCTCACTCCCTTCTAGAATATCAATGCCATTATCCAAGCACAGCTAGACCCATCCCTAAGTCATATCCTATCCTATTGGCAAGAATTTTAGGAGAAACAAAATTAAAGCAAACACTAGGCTAAATAATGAAATTCTATACCATAAAAACACGCAACTGTACACACTACAACACTGCTCACTGAAAAAGAAAAATTTATCATAACTTCTTGACATCTGACATAGATCTATTTGATGCAGCTGGGACAATCTACACCACACACTTCATTCAATTTTCCATTTGCAAGACTCAACAGTGACAACAATATTTTTTGTCACCATCAATGAAGTTTTTGAGCCCAAGTATAACAAGACAATTCAGAATTGGAACAATGCTTAAAAGTCTGGTATCCTAAAAAATGCTAAAGTAAGTAGGAGACTGTTCTTTATGCCAACCTATGTTTTAGCTCCTGCAAACTTCCATACCAGCTTGAGCATTCATTCTCTCCTTTTCATCATCCATTGTTACAGAAGGAAAATGTAGAATGTTTCTGCTACAGTACTTTAGCCCCAGCTACAACAGAGCAAATAAATAGAACCTTGGCACACCTACTTTCCAGGACCTCCCTTCCCAATAAAAGTTCTGAGATTTGCTTCCAAAGGCCCAAAACCTTATTCAACTGTAACAAATCAACATTCTATCTCAAATCAGCATCTTTCTGTGTTTCAGTATTAAGCCAATCTATGCACAAAAGGAATAGAAATATCTGGATCATAACATCATTTTTTTCAATCCATACTAGTACTACTGGTTTATTTTAATGGAAAGTTTTAATGGAAAGTCATTTTGGCTCAGAAAGGGTGGGTTAATTTAAAATCTAGACACATAAGGCTAGTATGTGTATTTATCTTCTTCCTATAACAAAATCAAAGCGCCAACTGCTATTAATACTTGCTGTGTTTTTTCCATCTCACATTGTCCCCACTTCTGATTGCTTTTTAGATTGTTTCCCTAGCTTGTCTAGTTCATTAAAATCATTCTCTATTATCTTCTGATTAACCAGTCTCACTTCCCTCAATTTTGCTTTTCAGTTTACCATTACCTTACCATTTCTATTTTATCCTAAGAGTTTTACAGATTCTACTCTTTCTCACCTCTCTTATGCCTTCTTCCACTTTTACTCTTCTCAAGTTTGCTCCAGCAGTGCTTATTGCTACCCTTAAAATTCCAAGTATCCAATTATCCATCCAACCACCTCAAAACAAATTAACAGAAGAACAGCATCCCTCCCTTGCCTCATGGACAGAGCAATTGCTAGCTAGTCTAAGTACAAGCATTGCCTTTAGCTTGAACACTGATTTGTTTTTAAGCTGCCATCAATCCTTGCACAGAACCCATCACATTGCTTCTAAACAATGGGTGAGTAAAACAGCTTTTTTTTTTTTTTTTAAAGAGGGGGCAAAAGAAGACAAACATGAACACCTCACACTAAACACAAGATAGAGCATTTCAAATACATCCCATCATTTTCTACATGCCTCCTGTCTCATGATCCTGGAGTGACAGAGGAAGAGAAAAACCAAAACCTTGCACAGTAAAAGAGAGTTAAGTGTGCATGTGTGTAAAGACCAGCTGTGAACCAGATGTGAGACCCAGGCAATTCAGAGTTGAACATAGACATACACAGGTTTCAACATGTAAGCGTAACGAGCAGTCAACAAAAGAGAGGAACATCAACAATTTAGTCTTCTGAGGTGCTTGAAATAGCACTAGGTACATTTTATCCTTCCATGCCATGACCCAATTGCTTCTTTATTTTTACAAGACCTTACAATAAATCTGTTATGTCATATGTTTGCTGCCAAGGCCATTGGGATGGCAGGAAGGAGCCTCACTTACAGCATCATCTAGGGGGCCAGGAGGAAAAGCAGCCCACCAGAGTATTGCTGCTGCCCAATAACCTGGCGTGGAAGCGTGAGATTCCTAGAGTCAGCAGGAGATGCAGTGAGTGGCAGCTCCTATGAGAGAGGTAGGAACCAACAGGAATACACATCAAAACTCAAGAATGCTCAAAAATCCATGTTTGGTGAGAGGTCTCGCCACAAGCTGCTCAACAGCAGTAGAGAAAGGATTCTTCAGTTTGAATGGAAAACTCCTGGGAAAAGCTACCCATGAAGCAGCACTTCAGCTGTCAATACTGTGCATTTATTATGCTCTCATCACACAGCTGGTTGGAATTGCCCATCTACTGACTCAGATGAACACAATACCACTTCAGACTAGGTCTAGAATCACTGGAGACAAAAAAAAAATGTTTTGTTTCTTTATAGAGCTCAGAATAAGTAAGTGAGCAAAACCACGTGTACTTTCACTAAGAGCATATTCCTATTAATGTAAGGCAGTTCATTTAAACCAGCTTTAAGAACATTTCCACTTTTTATATGAACTGTGAAGCAAGCAGAATTTCTTTTCCCCATAGTTTCAAAAGTTAACAACAGAGGAAAAAACCTGATACTTCAAGCATACAGTAAAGTTACTATTTTCAGGTGTATCTCACAAAATTTCTCAGGCTACATATGACAATAGATATGTTCAAGTATATAGGTAAGATCAGTGACTATTTTTAACTGTTAAAAAAGCAGCATCTCTTTTACCTTCTTTGGTTTCTCCTTGTCTCTCTTTTACAAAGAAAAACTTGTTGGATTATTGTTTGATTTTTTTTATTATTGTTGATATATAAACTTTTTAAACAAGGTTTCCATTATGGTGATTAGAGATAGGGGGGGAAAAAAAATCTAAAAACATATAAGCTACAAACGAAAACTAAATAGACCCAGCAGTGCCTTTCCAAACTCTGGAACAGTAACGCCACTAGATGCAAACTGTTCTATCCAGCTCAGGAGGCTGATAGCTCTGTAGCCGAAACATAGGGTGCCTGCTAAGGCTTAGACCCAGCTAAGCGACCTTCCCTGCTCGTCCCTTTCGAGGGGAGCCGCGAACCCAAGTGCTCGACCCCGACCCCAGCCCTCCAGGGCCGGGGCATTGCAGCCACTGAGAACGACTTTGGGCTTTTCCAGCGACTCCAGCCGAGGAAATCCTGCCTCCAGCGCGCGATCAGCAGGAGTGGGAAACTCCGTCAGCGCCACAGGAATTGCGTTATCCGCCGCTCCTTTTCTTACGGCTCAAGAAAATTGGATTACAGTCGTGTACGTCTGTTTGCTGGCGGTACCTCCACGGGTGCGGAAGCCCCATCAGAGAGGCTGGCTGCCGGGCATTGCGCGGATACCGGAGGGAAGAGTCTCCCGTGCAGGGCCTGGAGCCGAGGGGGAGCAGCCAGCCAGGTATCGCGATAGACAGATTGCTCCCTCCTCAGCAGCAGGGCCAGGGGCAGCTGAGGAGGGAAGGCCGGGAAGGGGCTCGGGGCACCGCGGCGAGGGAGAGGAGCTGCCGGCGGGGCCGGCACTGACCTTGCCAGTGGTGCCGTCCCCCAGCACCACCAGCTTGAGCTGGCGGTCCCGACTCTCCTCCTCCTCTGAGTCCGACATGATCTCTACGGCCCCGGCGACAAAGAAGAGGCTGAGAGCAGCCGGGAGGAGCCGAGTGCAGAAGCAAGGACGGGACAAGAGGAAGAGCGATCGCCGCGCTCACGAAACCGGCAGCAACGGGAGAGCCAGCACCGCCATCTTCCTTCGGCGCGCCCTCCGTCGCTAGGGTCCGCACGGGACGAAACCAACGACAGCGCTGAGGAAAGGGGGGGAAAGCGTTAAATTGTGGGCGGGAGCTACAGCAACAAGTCCAGCTGCTGCTTCAGGATACACCCACCTCTGCCCCCACAGGGTAGGGAGATGGTTCAGCCCGGCTNCGGCCTGGCCGTCCCCGCTGAGGGACGAGGCCGCCCCGTGTGGGGCTGACCAGGGAGGTGGCAGAGGTTCGCCGTGGCAACTACATATGGCAACTAAATAAATAGTTATGGCAACCAAATCATAAAGTCACTGAATGGTTTGGGTCGGAAAAAACCTTAAACATCTCGTTTCAACACCCCTGCTATGGGAAGGGCCACCTTCTATACCAGGTTGCTCAAAGCCCAGTCCAGTCTGGCCTTGAATACTGCCAGGGATGGGGCAGCCACAGCTTCTCTGGGTAACCTGTGCCAATGCCTCACCATCCTCACAGTGAAGAATTTCTTCTGAATGTCTAATCTAACCCTGCATTCTTTCAGTTTAAAGCCATCCTGCCTTGTTCTGTCCCTACATGCACTTCCATGAAGTCCCTTTCTGGCTCTCCTACCCTCTTTAAGAGGGTACTTAAAGGCCTGTACAGTAACGTCACTCTGGAGCCTTCTTTTCTGCAGCCTGAACAATCCCAGTTCTAGGGACTCCACCGCTTTCTTACACAGTCCCAGAACTTTTCTGTCCATATAGGCAGTCACTAAGAAAACTTGTCAAGGAAGCCCTAGCTGAATTTTAGACCATTACTTTATCACATACCATGACTAAGGAGAGCAGGCTATAACCTCTTTTGCATCAGCCTCCTCTGAGTTTGAAAACTGCCAGTGTCCCTTCAGCCTATCATCTTTCCCACAGACAAAACAACTTCTCTTCAGTCAGTCTTTCCCTCAGTTGTCTTTTCTAAAGTTATGATTATTCTTGTTGCTTTCCTTTGGCCCCTCTCCACTTTCTTGCAGTACTGTGCCAAAAACTGGATACAGTACTTCTGTTGAGGCCCTGGGAATACTGAGTGGAGTGGAAGTATTACTTCATGTGTCTTGTATACGAGACTTCTGTTTATATATCCCAGTATGATGTTTGTTTTCTTGACAGTATGACACTGCTGACTCATACCAATCCTGATTTACTAAAAAAGCCTCTAGATGCTCTCCTATTATTGGCATTTCATACATGTTGAAGCTTTATTTCTGTTTAACTATAGTGCTTTCTGCTTTTCCCCACTGATTTTAATCCTATGTTTCAGACTACTTGCAACATTTGTCAATATAATTTTATTTATTAGTATTGTCATCCAAAATGCATGTCAACAACCCCAGCTTGCTTATATCTGGAAGTCTAAGAACCATACTCTCTATTCAAAAGTCATTAATAATGATATCCAATAGTACCAAATCTCTTCAAGCCTCTATTATTTTTCTAGTATGAGTGACAATTATTTAGGCATCTTTATATGACAATTTGAACAGAGACATCTGTAACTCTTTAAAGTATAGATGTATTTTAATGGATTCAATAACAAGCTAAGATTTTTTAGAACAACTTTGTATAATGCCTGAATAGCAATCATACCTGGTTTAGTCTCTTTCAGGTTTTCTTTATGAAATGTATGTCTGAAATTTCCTATATTACAAGTACACTGTTTTACTCAATCCTCAGCAGGATCAAGAACGTTCCTTATTGATCATGTATTCATGTGTTTGCACAATTGAGGCTAAATGCTTTTCCAGTAACATTCTGGGGGTAGATACACCATAAAGTACATTAAATTCTAATGGAAACAAGACACACACCTTTGTCACTCCATACTTTGAATCAAATTAAATATGTTCATTATTTTCCAGTTCAGATCATCTTTTAGCCTAATTGTACTGCAAGTTCTCTTAACTTGTCACTTCAGCCAAGATCAGCATCAGGGCTCAGCTGAACAGCATTTCTTGGAAGGAAGAGCAATAAGGACACATGGAATTTTTCTCTATGATCTATGACATACTGAATAGTTGTACAATGGCATTAGACATTTAAGAGCTCCACATCTTGCTCCAGAGCAGACATGTGATTGATAAACCACTGTTGATGGAATTGCTCATATATCTGAAATTCTGCCTCAGTCACATTAAGAAAAAGATCTATAGAAGATGAATTTAAAGCTTTCTGATGCTTTTGAGGGGAAGCAGCTTCTATTTAACCCACAAGATGAGAAGCTGCATGTGTGAAAGCAGGATGATGAGAGCAAGGTGCTCCAGGTGTCCAGACTGTATGTATTTTCATTTGCAATACCACGAAGAAATGCATGTGTTACAATAAACATCCCAAAATTTAATTTAATTCTTCTTTTTCATCTTCAATGTGGTATTCATGGGCTTAAATTTGTCTATTTGTCTATTTATCTATTTGTCTAATTTGCCTAGTGTATGTGATCTGTTAATGTAAGCAGTTATATATTAAAGCATAATTTTGGAAATACAATGAAGACCTGGCATGGATAAACATGCATACTTGATGTTGACTAAGAAAAATTAATGGAAACTACCGCAGGAGATGCCGTAGTAACGCAATTGGACAACTCAGCTCCCAAAAGCCTCCTTGCTTAAGTCTATGAATGACAGGGATCTACTAAAAAAAAATTTTACTGTATAAAAGATCAGTGTACAAGAAAAAAGCTGCCTGGTGGACTTAATGCTTTAACAATAATAGTACCAAAGAGTGTTGTTTACCATTATTTAACTTTAGTAGCATAACAGGGCAAACAATCTTACTGCAAATCTTTACACATCTTGCTCGCAGTGTTCAGCAAGCACATTAACAGTGTGGTGTGGTAATTTTAAACACAGTGGTATAAATTTTTGCTACCAACCTGTCCCCTCTGGGAGGCTTTCAAATGGAACTATTTTTGTCATTGCCATCTTTACTAAATATGGACAGCATTTTATAGATTAAAGGAAACTAATTTGATACTTCACAGTTAAAGGAAATAAATTAAGTGTGTTGAAAAGCACTGGAATTAACAAACAGAATACTGCAGTAAAAAAGAATCATTGATGGCAGCATAGAAATAATTTGAAACTCATGCATTTTTAAAATACTAAGAAAAAATCCTTGAGTAGTTACTTTGAATTAAGTTTTCACTGAAAAGTGCCTGGGTCACCCAGGGACACAGAAAATAAATATATATCATCAAATAAAAATATATTGTTAATTAAATGTATATTTTTTGACATTCTGTCTGTATTTTGATATTTGCTCTTTTGGATTTTATCATACTTTCTATATACTTCATGTTATTTCTTTATGATAAAAATTCACTGCTAATTCACTGGTAATTGAGAATATTGTGGATAATAACTGAGATGACAACAATTTTTAAATTCTGTATTTTATTAAGGCTACAAACAAGTAAATAATTGCATCCTCATTCTCTGTCAAGTTTTGGCCTATTACTTTACCTGACCATTTTCCACTGAGTTAAATCGATTTTTTTATATGCGAAACAAATGGTATCGTTTTCTATATCTGTACTTCAAAAATAGCAAGAGCAGAGCTACATGATTTCATTTCAGTTCCCTTCATTTCAATAGTTCTTGATCAGTGGAGCTGTGAGTGTTTGAAAACACCTCTCAGGAGTCCATGGAAGGTTACTGAGAAAAGTAAACCTAGAAGACGTAGATTTAGCCCACATAAACATTCACTTTCACTTGAGGGCTTTGAAGAGTCTGTAAGATCAATTGTTGCTGCTGCTCAATTCCATTACTAGATCTTCCACCTCTATCAGCCAGGCAGTGAGTTTAATAAATGTTTTCACTTGGTTTGGTTCTTCAGGATATCACTGAAGTTATTTCAGTTCAGTTTTAGTTGCAAAGGCTCGACTATTTAAAGGCTTGGTAACTCTCCCAAGTAGAATCACTGCAACTACTGAATGAGTTTTTGGGAGACAGAGGTAATAAAGTGTGACAGGAGGTGCCAGAGATGTTTAGGAAAGGAGACAAGCAGCAGTAGAAGAGTCAGAGCTTCAATGTAGGTGAGGAAGGAGGGCTGGAAGGGGAAATCTCTGGGAATTTCTGAGGGCCAGAGACAAGTGTGGGAGTTTTTATTTTTCACTCTTCACAGTCCACAACTTTTATGCAACATCCTCGTCCATCTTGAGATACAGAGCCAGGCACCCAGCTCACCTCATCTGGGTCTAAAGGAACTTTCCTTCCTGGCCCCTGTGAATTTTTGTGCTGCTCTTGGATGCCATTTGTTCCCTTCTTCACATTTTCCCCTACAAACCCCAGTTAAATTTGTTAGTGCAAGACACTGATTTTCATTTCTGCTCATGATTTGAGCTGGCAGTCAGAAATACTATCTTTTTTTTTTCTCCTGTCATTTTGTTACAGTTTAATTAGAAAACCATTTTTTGGTAATCAGTTTCAATTTTAAGAAGAAATAGCACAGTTCCAGTTTTGGTTCCTTTACCCCCTTGTTCTTAAGTTACCCTGACTAAGCAATTGTGGCATACACAGTCAACCATGTTTGCAAATGCAAACTGTACAAACACGAACTAGACCTCTGAATGTGGGAGAGGTTTTTTTAGAATATAGTATAAGGTTGCATTCCCTTATGTAGATACTTAGGCAAGTATCTACAAAAGCACCAAAAATCACAGCCTACATAGGAAAGAGATATATGCTTCTCCCAAGCTCTGAGAAAAGGTGTGAATCAAGCTGAATGAGATGGAATCCACACTGAGAGAAAAGGAGTATCATATGTGAGAGCCTTCAACCTTTTTGCCATCCTCTCTAGGAATGCAGGGTCATTAGCTACCAAGTCATCTGTGCTGTCCTTACAGTGCTTGATGGAAACAACATATTTCTGAGAGTGACTGACACAACCTGTGTCCTCTGTTACCAATACAAGACATTCTTTTAACTTTTGTTCTGCTTTTTCTGCCCATGCTTACACAAAATTATTCATGCTCTTTTGAGTTTCATTCATACCAATATTTCTCTTTCAAGTCTCTGTAGCTGGGATCTGTAGATGCTCCTCTTGTTCAAGGTGGAAATTGACATTACATTTGTTTGAATGAGGAAAGTGTCCTTGAAGAGAAAAGCAAAATTGTTGCCACAAAAGTGGTGT